AGGGGGTAAAACAAAAAAACCCAACAGCAGCCGTGAGATTATTAGGAGTTAATCCTCCTCACATTGCTTAATAGTCCAGTGCTTGTGACCTCTATGAGAGTGGTCCGATAGGGGTGAACAGGTTAGGTCTATTTATGTGGAAAAGAAAGTTTCGAGTGTTGTGCACACTGCTCATCGATGATTTCCTGAACATAATATATTTAAATTTATGAGGTCAACAACTATCACGATCAATGGGTTAATTTGACTCCCACGATATTCTCAGATCCCAAATTATGGAAGGGAAGCAGTGATTATTTGATTATGTAGACGATTCGCCCCTAGCTCTATCAGATGCAGTGTGTCTATTTACTCAAAATGCACGCACAACCTGCGATCTTGACGAGTTTTGAACGGGATGTTCTTTATTGATCAGTAAACTTAGCCTAGAAAAATTCGCAATTGATTAAAAAGTGGAACATAATTGGAACGTCTTTTTATGTCCCCCCAGGCCTATAAATTGAATTAGCTTCCAAGGCTCAGCCAATTAACTTTGAACTCTGTTGCTATCGTTTGTCCTCTTTGGCAAGCTTGCTATCATTAGGCCCTAATTATTGCTATTAATTTTCCATGATGAATTTCGTACTCCATCGTCGACGTTTCATTTTTCTCTTCAGGTTGAAAGAGCTTCTACATCTTCAAGGGAATGAAAGATAAAAAATCGTATTTTGTACAGTAGACGTATGTCGTTTTGGTAAAGTCTAAATTCTCTTCTTTATCGCTTCTGGTGTAAATAGTCCCATTAGAACTGACAACCATAAAAATCAGAGACAATAATGATCCTGAAGGAAATGAAAGCCTGTTTTACATGTATAAAGAGCCTAAATTTCAACATTTTATGTTTTTCTGTTCCCAGCTGAAAAGAATTCTCACTACAGCTGCCGATGGTTTGCCTTCAGAGGCATCAGAGAAAAAGATGGCAAGGAAGACCGGGTTCTCTGCAGAGCCAGTGTGTGATTTTTGCCGGCGCAGTTCTCTGAGTAATGCTGCTGGGGTGCCAGAGATTCTCCTTTTCTGCAAAGATTGCACTGCCAGAGGTGAGTTCGAAGCAATTGTTCATTTTTCAATTTACTTTTTAAAAAGATATAGTTTAGAGTGATTTGCTTTTCGTATTCATTTATACTTACTGTTTTGTTATTTGAACATTATTTCTTTCAGTTTGTTTATGCCAATATTTTGCTCTTTTTATTCTCAGTTGTGTCAGATATGAATTTTGGAATGTTATTTTCTTTGAGAATGTGTCTTTCCTTTAACACTCCCCTATTTTCATTTTAACTTTGCTTTAAGTTTGGTCTTAGCTTTCAGAGACAAAATCATTGTACATGTTACATAATATTATTTTGTGCGTGTTTGGGTTTGGTATCTATCTGGGGGTATCATATGTGCGGAGAGAGAGAGAGAGAGAGAGAGAGAGAGAGAGAGAGAGAGACAGACAGACAGACACACAGACAGGCACAGACAAATAGACAGACAGACAGACCGAGACTGAGAGGCAAAGTATGAGAATGGTATAAATTCATATAAAGAATGCTGAGAAGTGTATCTGACAAGGACAGAGCCGTGGAATATCAGACAGGGCACATTGTCACAATGTGTATTTCCATTTCCATATATATGTGGATATGTCATGATGCAGTGGAATGGGGAGCTTGCTAATTTTTGGGCATATATAGTGTTATTGATGTCATCTTAAAGCTTGCTCATGTGTCTTGCTTTTGATGAAAAAAAATACCCATTCATCTTGAATAGAACATAAGTTATTTGCATTTAAAGGAGAAAGAGTAGAGGCAAAGGTCGTAAAATTGCAAGAAAATGGCCACCAAAGTTTGATGACTTCCGAAGGGTGAAAGTCTCTAGAAACTGCTAATTAACATTTTTTGTGTGCCTCTGATCAACATTTTTCAGCAAAATCCTCTCAGAGATGTGCTTTTAAGAAGAGAAAAAAAAAAGATGACAAAAATTGCCCAAAGAGCGAAAAAAAATGCCAGCTTTTTTTTCAACATCATTATTTTGACGAGCACTTGATTTCATCCCCCAGATATGTGAAGTGTATCTTCCTATATTTCATGAACACAATTTTCCTCCCCATCCCTCACCCCCCCCTTCCATCTCACATCCAGTGCACAATACACACTCCCTCTTTCTTGTCCTCCTCAGCTCACCCGTCCTGCATGAAATACTCGCAGTTGCTGGCGTCCCGTGCCTCCAAAGGTCCGTGGCAGTGCATGGACTGTAAGACATGCATCGTGTGTCAAGACCCGGGCAGTCCGGTAGGTGAACATGTTCCCTCCGCCAGCTATGCACTCCGCCAAGTTAGATAAAGGGCTGATGATGAAATGTATAATAATAATATCGTTTCGCTCATAAGATAAATGCGTAAGTCATTCTTAGCCATTTTGAGAAAATGAGAAAAAAATTGGTTATTTCGAACAATTGACTCTGGTGTTGTGCGTTAAAAGAGTCCTATCCTTCTACCAACAATTAGGTTGTGGAAAGGGATGTTCCTTAATGGCATAGACGGTTGGTAGAAATAAAGTTTTTCTTTATTTTTTTTTATCTAAAAGGGAATAGATGATTCCATATGTCAAGCCCTGATAGAATGCAGTCTTGCTAAATCCTCATTAGATGCTGGCGTCTAGTTTCATCTGTCCGTGTCAGAAAAAACAAGGTAAATTGTAAGTTGGTCTAAGGAAATCAGGAATGTCGCCTCTGGGTCATTTTTAGTTTTTGTCCTTTTTTGTAAAGCAGGTATCTTCCTGGTTATTATACACTTTAAATGTTTAATTATCTTTTCTATAAGATGAGATATTGCATTTTGAAATAACAAAATGTGGAAAAGTAAGAACTGAGAAAAATGCGTTTAAAGTTACACTGTTATTGTCTTTTAATATCTGAATGCAAATGGAAAATAAATTGGGAAAAGTTTTTTAAAAGTGGTTTATACAAAATACAGCTCTTTAATTATTTTTTTTTAATGGTTGGAGAACCTCCTGGTATGTGTAAATCAAAATCGACCTGAGTTGACCACATCGACTATTTTTACCGATATTTCGATTCGAGGTTTAGCGACATATTCTTGGTTTCCTCAGATCATCTCACGAATGCTTCTGCTGACCTGAGACTTTACCCTATCAGGAACTGCACTCTTAAATTAATTGTATGCCGCACTTGCAAATCTAGCAGTGCACCCAAATTTGAAGAGTACTTACTTCTGATCCGTCTGTTCACCTGCCTTGCGCTGTGGACTCTGTTCTGGCTTGATGTGTTTGTGACGTTGTGTCTTTGCTCCTTCTATAGACTCGTCAAGTCATTGGCATGTCTTGTCTTCAGGACCAGATGCTTTTCTGTGACGGCTGTGACAAGGGATACCACATGAGCTGCCACCAGCCTTCTATCAACAAGAAACCCTCTGGTAGTAGTTTGTCTTCTTTGTTGAGTCAGCATCATCATTGTCTTTCTCACCCGGCATCAAGTATACCACATAGGCCAAAAACAAAGACTTTCCACCTTTCACTATCCTGGGCTAGCCTCTTGATGTTATTCCATGTCTTCCCACTTTTCTGTAAATCAAATTTCTTTTTTGAATGCTGTGTGTAAACTTAATGACAGGATGCGGGTAAGGCTTGATCAGTTGGATACAAGAAACTCTCTAACAGAATGGACATTGAACTTCTCATAACCGATACTGCATACATCGACAAGACATAATTTGTTAGTATTAAATTCCCTCATAAGATGCGGTGTGTAAATATGTTATGGTAGAATAGCACCATTAAAACGTCAGCAGTCCTCTGTCAACAAGAAACATCATGGAGTGATATGTAAAATGCACCAAGCCACATCAGCC